GAATATGTACTTTACATTCTGACGGGCAATGCCAAGTTGCCTCAAATGAGATTGCAACAATTCATATTCCTACTGGCTGTGAACTTCCGTCTCTCCCTACACTTTTAACAATCGTGTGTTTGCTTATGCTTGTGGATATTCGTCATGATATTTCATTGTTACATGGGCATGTACCCTGTGGTAGAGTGCTTTCCTGTCATGTGTAAGGCCTGTGATAGATCTCTAGCACCAAAAAAAGGAAAATAAAATTTGTGAATAAGTTTATTCTTTCAAAGGTTTAATCTATTTGCATTTGATTTTCTTACTGATTTATAAAAGCTTTTGGTTTACTAAGAAAATAAGTTCTTATCTGTAATGTGAAATTATTTTGCAGTTTATTATTTGCCTTTTTACCTCTCCTAGTATTTTTTTCCAAACAAAAAGTTTGAATTTAACTTTTTAATGTACTTTTTTTTCCCTTATAGTTTCTATAAGACAATATACTTAAAAATTGAAAAAGTAAGCTGGGTGCTTGTGGCCCATGCCCGTAATCCTAGCTACTTGAGAGCATTTCAGGAAGATTGTGGTTCGAGGACAGTCTAGACAAATAGTTCTTGAGACTCCATCTCTAAAATAACCAGAGCAAAATGAACTGGAGGCATGGTTCAAGCTGTAGAGTGCCTCTTTGCCAGTGCCTGCTTTGCAAGTATGAACCCCTGAGTTCAAACCCCAATCCCACCCCCTAAAAAAAAAGATTGAAAAAGTGAACAGGAAGACATTTATAAAGGTGTTGATGAGGAGGATCACAAGAAAAGAAAAATGTAATTTGATGGGCTGTGGTTCCTGGAAAGGGGAGGGGTGATGAAACCCAGACCTTGATAGAAGAATCATCATTTTTGTTTTTTGCCCAGGAGGGAGGGAGAAAAGGGAGTGTGCAGATATGGGTGGGGCTGCAATTTCATATAGAAAGTAGGAGTTCCAGCCCAATGCTTCTGCCTTCTTTTTATAAAGCAGCCAGAAACATCTTCTGAAAGTGAAAAGTATAGGTTAGCTTGAAGGTTGCTGAGAAAGTTCCAGAGGATCATTGCAGAGACAGAGTGAGCTAACTAAGGAGCCGAACTGTTGATAACATGGAGGGCCTTGTTCACTCTGCAAGACTATGGGACTTTTCTAGCAGCCTTCAGTAGACTGGGTGAAGGTGATGAGACAGTAGATATCCTCGTGTAAGATTTTTTTCTATGTTTAGTTATCCTCCTATCGTTTATTTGTAATTTTACTGCATCATAGTTGCTGTTCATTTGAGTCTTTGACATTTATTAAGTTTTCCTTAATGGCTTATTATATGGGCTGTCTTTGAAATTCTTCCATGTGTTCCTGAATGTGTCCTTGATTTGTTGGGTATAAAGTTTATATAAATGAAAAATTACACCATCTTATTACTCAGATCTTTAAGAAGGGAGTGCCACAGATGTGTGCTGTGTCTAGGCATGAACAGCACATGGAGTTTGTAGTCTTCAGTGTGAGTGAGTGGGCCTTGTGATTAGGTATGACGAGGTGTGCAATGAGTGGGAACTCCTGTGCTCTGCCCTGTGTCCATGAGATAAGGAGCAGCAGGTTGGAGGCTTGATATGGCTTACCCGGTGTCACATAGCTAAGAAGCAGCAGAGCTAGGATTTGTTCCCAACTCCAGAACTCTTCTGCCGTATCTTTTATGCTTACTGGAGGTAGGTGATAGGTTATCACTATCTTCCAACATGTTCTTTCTAAAATATGTTGAATTATGAGTTGGAAAAAGAAAAGTTAGAATTATGAGTGCTATTTTTATTTGTTTGTTTTGGTGGTAGAGCTTGAACCCAGGGCTTCTCACTTGCTAGGCAAGTGCTCTACCACTGTGTAACGCTGAAAGTCCTGCATATTACTTTTTTATAGCAGTATTGAGTTCTTACCATGCCATCTCTTCCCCTGTCTTTGTTAATTTTTTTGCTTGAACTTCATTGGTTGTAGCATCTGAATAGAACTAGAATAAATCTATTCCTTAAAGTATTCACACAAAATATTTTTTAAGCAAATCAAAACAACTCAGAGATTCCATCTCACCCCAGTCAGAATGGCAATCATCAAGAAAACAAACAACAGCAAATGTTGGTGAGGATTTGGGAAAAAGGAACCCCATACACTGTTGGTAAGAATGTATATTAATTCAGCCCCTGTGAAAATCATTATGGTGATTCCTCAAAAAACTAAAATTAGAACCACCATATGACCTGCTATATCACTCTTACATTGGGCATATATCCAATGTAAGTCAACATGCAATAGAGATACCTGCACACTTGTGTTTATAATAGTACTATTCATAATAGCCAAGTTATGGAATCAACTTAGGTGCCCATCATTGGATGAATGGATAGAGAAAAGGTGGTATATAGATGCTATGGAGTATTATTCAGCTATAAAGAAGAATGAAATTAGTTGGGCACTGGTGGCTCACACCTGTACTTCTGGTTACTCAGGAAGCAGAGATCAGGAGGTTTGTGGTTTGAGGCCAGTCCAAGCAAAATGAAAGCAAGACCCTATCTCAGAAATATCCAACACGCACCCAAAAGAGGATTGGTGGAGTGACTCAAGTGGTAGCATGCCTGCCTAGCAAACATGAGGCCCTGAGTTCAAACCCCAGTACCATAAAAACAAAACAGAAACCAAAAACAAAACTCAAAAACAAAATTGTGTCAACATCAGAAAAGTGAGTGGGACTGGAGATCATCATGTTAAGTAAAATAAGCCAGATTCAGAAAGACAAATGCTGCATGTTTTCTCTCATTTGCAAAAGCTGTATCAAAGAAACGAATGTGAATATAAATGGTGAACTATTTGAGAGGGAGCCACTGAGAGGTCTGTGTGGGGAAAGAGAGTGAGAGGTGGGGAGCATATGATTGAAGTACATTGTATGGATGTATGAAAAGGTTATAATAAAACCCATTTAAAAATGGCAAGAACGGCTAAAAATGGGGGGAGGAGGAATAAAAAAGAGTAATGGAGGGTGAATATGATAAAGTCTATTAAACGTATATATGAAAATATCACAATGAACCCCCCACATTGCATAATTAATATGCACTATAAAACATGGAAAGCCTGTTTAATGATTACAGTTAGCTGCGGCAGCATATTCTTCACACAGGTTGGTTTTAAGTGTGTTTTGCTTTGCTTTTTTGAGGTAGAATCTTGCTTTACAGCCCAGGCTGGCCTTCAACCCAGAATCTTCCTGCCTCAGATTACTAGAGTTTATTTGGTCTTTCCCAATTTGAAGTTGTTCTAAAATTGTTTAAGAGCATAAAACTTTTTCTGGCAAGATGAAAATAGAATAACTAGTATACAATAAAGGTTCATAGAAAAGAAAGAAAGAGAAAAATTAAGAGATTTTGGAAGGAGTGTCAATCTGTTTTCAGTTGAGATTTAAGACTAGATGGGGAGTTGACATGCAGAGAAACATAAAGAAGCTGTCCAGATGGCAGAATCAAAGTAGAGAACTGCTTGCCTGGCTTAAACCAGGGCGAGGTCCAGAAGAGCATGCTGGAGTCGGGGAATGAATTTAGTAGACAGGTTTCTGAGGCAAGTTGGAATTAATCCATAGATTATAAAACAAAAGCATTATGGGATATATCCTGAAATCTAGCTTTTTTTGTCTTTTTTGGTGGTACTGGGATTTGGACTCAGGACCTTGCACTTGCTAGCAGGTACTCTACCACTTGAGTCACTCAGCCAGCACAGGCTATTAAATCTTTTTTTTGGTGGTAAACAACAATTTATTCTTGCTTTATAGTTTTATTTACTTGCATAATTGCATCTTACAATTTCACCCATAACCACTATTTTATTTTCTGTTTCTAGGTATCTGTTTTTTTTTTTTTTTTTTTTTTCCTTTTGTAGTGCTGGAGTTTGAAACCAGAGTCTTGCACATGGTAGGCAAGTGCTCTATCACTGAACTACATTCTCAGCTCTCTAGGTGTTTGAATTTGTTTTTATAATTTGTGTTTTGGATTGCACCTATAAATGAGATGACACAATAGTTTTCTTTCTGTGTCTGGCTTATTTCACTAGTGTAATGTCCTTTAGGTATACCCGTGTTGTTGCAAATGACAAGATCTCTTTTTTATTTAAAGAAGAATAATACATTGTATGTAATACCATAATTTCTTTATCCATTCATCCATACATGGGCACATGGGTTGTTTCCATATCTGGCTTTTGTAAATAATGCTGTAATAAACATGGGAAATGCAGACATCTTTATGAGGTGGTGATTTCATTTCAGTGTATTCCCAGAAAGATTTGCTAGGTCATGTAATAGTTTTACCCTTTTTCTTTTTTTGAGACAGGGTCTTGCTGTGTATTTGAGGCTGACCTCAAACTTGAGATCCTCCTCCTCAACTTCTGGAGTTGCCAGGATTACAGGTGTGAACCACCACGCCCAGTAGTCTCTGTGATTTTTTGACTACTCTTAAGTACTTCATATAAGTACAATCATACAAGCTGAGCACTGGTGCTCCTAGTTACTTGGGGGCTGTGATCCAGAGGACTGAAGTTTGAGGCCAGCCTGAGCAAGTAGTTCAAGCAACCCAATCTCCAAAATAACCAGAGCAAAATAGACTGGAGTGGGCTCAAGTGGTAGGACGCCTGCTTTATAATCACGAAGCCCTGACTGAGTTCAAACCCCAGTCCCACCAAAAAATAAATAAATAAATAAATAAAGGTAGAATCATACGGTATTTGTCTTTTTGTGGCTGTCTTATTCCAGTGTCCTCAGGGTTTATCCATTTTATAAGCTGTGTTAGAACTTCCTTCTTTTTAAAGGCTGCATAATATTCTGGCTTCACAGATTTTTTACATCAAGTTTTTTCTACTTATTGTGTGTAATAGTCTGTCTAAGTCCTGTATATAGTACAGTTAGAAACAGTATGTATGTGATTATATTTCATTATTTTCATGATGGAGATTTATAATTTGTTCTTAATTTGCAGCTTTTTTCAAGGAACAAACCTCCAAGGGGCCTATATGTTTATGGAGATGTTGGTAAGTGTTCAAATAAATTTTGGATGGGCCAATCAGATAATTTTCCAGCTTTTGCTCAGGGGTAACTTCATTTCCATCCCTCAGTCCACCACCACAGGGTGAAGTAGGGGAGGAGAGGGCAATTTTCTCAGCTTTCACCTTTCCTTTCACGTAGGATGCGGCTGTAACTTTAGGTAGAATTAGTTACTATGTTAGGTGCAAGCATTACGTAACATGTAAAGTAGTTGATCTCCAGGAGGAAAGTAACGTGTGGATAGGTTATGGATAAGCCAGGGTATTGTAACCTAGTGCTATTTGATTGAGCTTAATTTTTTTTAAATTTTTTCATGTTTACTTTTAATTTTAACTCATATTTCTATTTATAATCTAAGCCTTTCAATTAACTACTTAGTTGTTTTGTTTTGTTTTGAGACAGGGTCTTACTGTGTTGCCCAGGTTGGTCTCAAATTCATGGAGTCAAGTGATCCTCCTGGCTCAGTCTGCCAAGTGTCAGGACTACAGGCATGCACTACTGTGCCTGTTACTTATCTTTAATTAGGAGATACTCTAAATGCGTGAGTGGTGACATATTGTTGGTCTCTTCTATATATTGCGCACAGAGACACATATTTATTGGGAACATTCTGAGGTTTACTTTGAGACCATTTTGGGCTACACAGGGAAATAAAACAAAGCAAAATTAAACAAGACTACAACATAAGTCCCCAAATCCTGACTTTCCTAATCAGGTCATGTCTTCTCCTGAGGTCTCCCTTGACCTTATTCTTGCTGAAATCTTCTGTTTTCTAGTTTCCATTTCCTTCGTACAGATCCTTTGCTCTGAGGCCTAAACCTCTCCCTAGTTACCTACATTCACTGATGTCACGGAGGTGGCTTCTACTTCACTTGGTTCCATTGTCTTTGTCCTTATCAAGTTTTTCTTTTACTGGCATTCTAAAACTCACATCTCCCCATAAGGAGAGCAGTTTGGACCTAGATTAATATACACGCTCCAGGACCGCCTAGAGCCATAGCACATCGGTGTTACGAGGGAGTCATGGCACAGCTTATTTTCTTACTATGATTTTTGGGACAAAAAAAAAAAAAGTTGAGAAAGTGGTTAGAGTGTCTTAAGATAAATTGTTAATTCTTATCTCCTCTTCTTCGATTTGATTACTAATGCCTTATAAAATTCTTCTAGTTCTTCTTCTTTTTTTTTGGTGGTGCTGGGTTTGAATTCAGGGCCTCATGCTTGCGAGGCAGGTGCTGTACCACTTGAGCCACACCCCCAGCCCAGTTGGGTCTCATATATTTGGCTTCAGACTGCAATTCTATCTGTGCCTTCCTTTGTAGCTGGGATTACTTGTTGATATGGGCTCTCACTAACTTTTTGCCTTGAGCAGTGATATTCCTGAGTAGCTGGGATTACAAGTATGTACCACTGTGCATGGCCTCAAGTTCTTAAAAAAATTACAGATTTAAAAATATTAAAGAAGCTCAAGTTTTTTTCTCTTCACTTAAAAATATCTCAAATTCTGTTCTATTATTATCTATTGTATAATGCATCCTATTCTATTCTACTTAGGAATCTCTTTTTTTTTAGTTCACTGGCTAATTGGAATTTTGAGACCAGTGTGTATTTACTTCTTATTTATTATCATATTATTGTTCTATTGGGAGTATTGTGATGTTTACAAATGTGCTTATAATATATCATAGTTGAATCCACCCCGTCCATCTTTCTCCTTTACCTACCCCCCTACTTATTTATAACATGCTTAATCAGTTTATGTGTGTGTGTTTTTGGGTACCACTAACAGAGTTTGTTCTGTTCTCTTTGCTTCTGAGAACAGCTTACTTCCTCTACCTTCACTTTTACGTGTAGTTATTGTGAAAATCAGCAGCTTTGTTTCCCGTTACCATAACCACTTAATCATAAAATGGAAATGATTAATACAATACAACTGTTTCTACTTCTTCAAAATGAATAATAATAATAAAAACAAAATGGAAAATATGACCATATTCTAACTAAGTGAGGGGAGATGCAAGTAATTTATCTGAATGCTTGAAAAAAATTAAGAAATATGTAATAACATTGAGTGTTCACATAGCCTGGGGGTATGATAACTTTTGGGTAGAAACATCTTTATAATATAGAGAGGAAGAAGGAAAGGAATTTTAAAATAGGGAATGAGATGAATGTTTTGATGGCTATCACCAATTTAGAATCTGACAATATAGGTTATAAAAGATGGGTGAAAGTGTCATTTTGGAGCTATCTGGGAGAATAGCCTCAGAATGCTATCATAAGCTCTTACTTTTTTTTTTTTTTTCCTGTACTAGGGTTTAAACTCAGGGCCTACACCTTGAGCCACTTCACCAGAGTTTTTTTTGTGATGGTTTTTTTTTTTTTTTTGAGATAGGGTCTTGCAAGCTGTTTGCCTGTGATTGGCTTCAAACTAGGATCCTCCTGATCTCTGCCTCCTGAGTAGCTAGGATTACAGGTGTTAGCCACCGCCACCTGGCTAAGCTCTTACTCTTTACTGTTTCCTTTCTTGGACTTGAGAAACGGGTATTATAGCCTAAGGAGACTCACTGGGAAAGAGGATGTGTGCTTCATTTCTCACTCTTCCTTCCTATACTGCGTTTGGGCTCTTCACACCTGCTTCACTCTACTCTCTTGTCTTCATAGATGAGTTGGATGACTGACCCAGATGGACCCTAAATCCAGGGAACTTCCACAGAGCTGATACATAAACTGGAGGGATTAACATCATGATGCAATCTTGAAAATACATACTTTCATTAACAGAACGTTTAACACATTCATACATTGGCCAAAAGCTTTGCTAGTTTTGTTTTGTGGCTTTCTTCATGTCGTGCAACAGCTTTCTCACAAGGCTCCAGCACTTGACCTGGAGACTGGCAGCAGTGGTGGCAGGGCTATTGATTTCATTTCTCTGAGACAGTAGAAGAGAATAAAGGTACATTTTGCTTATCAATCCTCCTTCTGCTGCCTCCTGATTTAGCCTCATCTGTTTCACATTAACACTGAGCACTGAACCTTCAACAGTTGAAAGAGAGGGTGCTTTTAAGGTCGGGAAGCATAGTTCTTCCAGGCTGGAAGGTGGTGATGTACTCAACTTCCTGCTGCTTCTGCATGGACAGCTGGGAAAAAGGACCGCCAGGGGGTGCTCTCGAGTAGTTCTTTTTGACTTCATAATTAGGGATTGGATGTTAGAATTTAGGTTTGTCCAAGTTATTCCCTTGACAAGAATTCTCTTTTGGGAAAAACATAAGATCTTACTTATGAGTCTTTAAGGACCAAAACAAAATTGAGAACTATGTAGATTTTAGTATTGGTTTCCTCTCCCATCTGTTTTCAAGGTCTTCTGACTGCTTGACAAGTATTTTTTGAGCACCTGCCTTGTGCCCAGCAATATGTTACTTTTAGAGATGTTTTAGTGAGTAAAGGCAGATCTGGCCTCTCAAAGATTAGAAACAGGTGCAATGGCCTCAAATCTTTTTTTTTTTTGGTACCAGAGTTTGTGCTTGCAAAGCAGGCACTCTTACCACTTGAGGCACAACTCTAGTCCATTTTGCTCTGGTTATTTTGGAGACTGGGGCGTCTCATGAACTATGCCTGAGCTGGCAATCTTCCCAATCTCAGCCTCCCAAATAGCTAGGATTACAGATGTGAGCCACCAGTGTCCAGCACCTCAAATCATTTTTGAACATGACCCATAGTTCTACAGTGTTTTACTGTATGCTGAGTGTATACTCCCCTCCCACACACCTAAAAGAATAGTTTCACAAAATAATACTTACCTTTCCACATGATGAATTTTGATATTTACTTTTCTATTTGAAAAGTAAAATTTCTTTGTTTCTTTCATGACAAAGTGATTGTGATATAGTGACAGTTTAAAAAGCACTGCTGTAGTGTCTCTAGTACCCATCACTTTATGCTGGGGTGCTGGTGTTTGTTTACACCCTTGCAGGCATGGACTTCTCTTGCTGGAACTTCCACAGGTTGCAACTTTCTCCTCTTCTAAACTAACCTGGTTGAACTCAATGATCCCAGAGCCCACCTTCTAGGTAAATATCTGAACTACTTCTAAACTATTTAAATCTAAGCTATTCTAAATTACTTGCCAAATTTTAATGGCAAGAACATTCCAGAACATCTGCATTTAAAGGCCTTCTAAGAATTAAGATTTTACTGAGCACTTTGGTATATCCATTAAACAGTATTTCCAGTTCCACCCCTTACCTTCTCCTATCTTCCAGTCCTTCTCAACTACCATTCTACTTTCAACTTTCTGTTTCTATGAGTTTGACTTCTCTAAGTTCCTCATGTAAGTAGAAACATCTGGTACTTGTCTTTTTATGTCTGGTTTATTTCATTTACCAAACTAGCTTCAAGATTCATCTATGGTATAGCAAACATCAGAAATTTCTTTCCTTTTAAGGCTGAGTAATGCTATATTATATGTACACACCACATTTTATTTGTCCATATCCTTTAATGGATATTTTGGGTTGTTCTGTCTTTTGGCTATTGTGAATAATGCTGCAGTAAACATTGATGTATAGATATTTGTTTAAATACCTGCTTTCAATTATTTTATTTATGTACCCATTGCTTGATCATAGATCATTTAACGCTTATTTTTTTGAGGAATTGCCATACTGTTTTTGACAGCAACAGTAGGTACCAGCAAACACAAGGTTCCAAGTTTTATACCTCTTCTCCCACTTGTTAATTTATGTCTTTTCAGTAATAACCATTCTAATGTAGGTGAACTGGTATCTCATTGCAGTTTTGATTTGCTTTACTTGAATAATTAGTTATGTTGACTATCTTTTCAGTATACTTTTTCATATTTATCCTTAAATCAGGTTGAGTCTGCTGCTTCTCCTAGTTTGCTGAAAGTTTTTTTTAAATCATGAATGTGCCAAAGTCTGTTAAATTTTTTTCAAATGTTGTGTGACAATCTTTTTTTTTCCTTTATACC